GGGGAGCTGTAGCTCAATGGGCACAGAGCTTCTGTTTGGGGTGATGAAAACATTTGGAAATAGATAGTAATGATGGTTGTACAACCATGTGAATGTACTTAATGCCACTGAATTTTATGGTTAAAATGGCAAATTACGTTAAATATATTTTACCACAATAAGATAGTTTAAAAAGAAAGGGAGGTGAGGCTTTATCGTGAGTCTTAAGCTCAGCATATCAAAATGGTCTCAATCTGATCTTATTTTAATTTAAATTTTACTTTTCAATTACAGTTTACCTTCAATATTTTGTATTAGTTTCAGGTGTACAACAGAATGGTTAATCAATCGGTCCCCCTGATATTTCCAGCTCCCACCTGGCAGAATACTTTGTTATTACAATATTATTAACTACCTTCCTTATGTGGTGACTATTTTGTTACTACCAATTTGTATTTCTTAATTCCTTCAAAAATGGTCTCAATTTTTTAAAAAAAAAGGCTCTATCCACTGAGCCAAACCGGCTAGGGCTCAGATTCTTGTTCGCCAATGTTCTTAGCAGCATCATTCATGAGAGCCAAAGGGTGGAGACCACCCCAGTGTGTCAGCAGGTGGGTGGGTAAACACAGTGTGGCCTCTCCCTCCACTGGAATATTATTCCATCATAAAAAGGAGTGACCGTAGCCAAGGAGGAAACTTAAACATTATGCTGAATGACAAAGGCTAGCCACCAAAGGCCACACATTAGATGTTTCTACCTCCAGGATACAGAAGAGACGAACCCAGGCATGTGCCCTAACAGGGAATCAAACTTGTGGCCTCTTGGTACATGGCATGACACTCAACTGAGCCACACTGGTTGGGCAAAAATGGTCTCGATTTAAAATCAAAAAGGGACTGAGAACTATAGCTCAGGACCATGCTCAAGAAAACACCAGGTGAGACCTTGGAGGCGAAATACAAGAACTCACTGTTTTCCACCCAGGGCCCCTCTGGCTTTCCCAGATGATACTGAACCGGTTGGGCTGCCTGCTGCTCAAAATCCAATAATTAAGAGACAGGGGTACTGGCCGGGTAGCTTAGCTGGTTAGAGTATCATCCTGATACACCAAGGTTGCGGGTTCGGTCCCCGGTCAGGGCACATACAAGAAGCAACCAATTAATGCATCAATACGTGGAACAATAAATTGATGCTTCTCTCTCCCCCTTCCTTTCTCTCTCTAAAATCAATAATTTATTTTGTTATCCTCATCTGAGGATATTTTTCCATTGCCTTTTTAGAGAGGGAAAGACAGAGAGAAACATCAATACAGGAGAGACACATCGATTGGTTGCCTCCTACACGAGCCCCGCAGGGCTGGGAAGGAGCCTGCAACGAAGGTACATGCCCTTGACCGGAATCGAACCTGGGACCCTTTGGTCCGCAGGCCGGCGCTCTATCCACTGAGCCAAACCGGCGAGGGCCAATAATTTTTTAAAAATAAAAGAAGAGACACGGGCTGGTGGAAGGAAAGTAGGTTTATTCAAGAACCAGCAGCCTGAGGAGATGGGGGACTCCCGTCACAAAGCCCATTTCAACATCTCGGTGCAGGCAGGGATTTTTATAAGGAGAGAGGGAAAGCAGAACAGAGGGATGGGGGGTGGGGGTGAAAAGTTCTCTACGTGCAGACCTGCACGGTCCATTCTGATAGGATGTCCACACTGGCCAAGGGATGGCCTGATGTGCGTCATCATGGCTGTAAGGTGGAAGATCAGCAAATCTCCCCGAGCTGGAATGCCTGAAGGTCAGAGTCGGCTTCTTTTGAAGTTAGTTCCTAGAATCATTAAACAAACATGCTGTTTATCTGTAAGATCCATGGTAGAGTCAGCACTTTCGAAACAATGTAAAAAGAATGGAGGCGTGGGTTATACAGAGACACGAGGCCAAGTGCTGTGTATGTCCCCTCCCACGCTCTCCCATATCACCTCCCATTCCAAATTTTAAAGTTTCCTTCCCCATGCTTCTTGCTGCAGGAATATTTTCTTCCCGGGCTTTCATAAGGGGGTCAGGTGGACAGGGAGATGTGGCATGGTGGATTGGTGCATCCTCTGCAGTTTCCGGGACTGCAAGGACGGGGTGGACGGGTGGTGCTCAAGGCCAAAGGAAGGGGTGCACGGGTGGTACTCGGGCGGAAGGACGGGGTACACGGGTGGTGCTCGGGCGGAAGGACGGGGTACACGGGTGGTGCTCGGGCGGAAGGACGGGGTACACGGGTGGTGCTCGGGCGGAAGGACGGGGTGCACGGTTGGTGCTCAGGGCCAAAGGAAGGGGTGCACGGGTGGTGCTCGGGGCAGAAGGACGGGGTGCACGGGTGGTGCTCGGGGCGAAAGGACGGGGTGCGCGGGTGGTGCTGGACTCACAGGTGCCCTTTCCGCCCCTGCAGGTGCTGGAGCTCTATGGCAACATCATCACCAGTATGAAGTGTCTGTGTGCTCACCCTCCACCAGGCCTCCAGCACTTGGGGTTGGGCCACAACAAGCTTCTGGGCCCCCTGCAAAGCATGTACATCACCTCCCAACACTGGTAACTCCGGAGCCCCCAGCTGGAAGCAGAAAAGGGAGAAAGCATTAGATTTGGACGCTGAAAGGGACCCAGCTTTCCTCTTTTCTGTAGTAACTCCTGGTTGGCTGCTGGCTCCAGACATAAAACTTCTTTCTCTGATTCAATTTAAAACACAAAAAAATAACCCACAGAGGCCAGGAAAGGACACGGAGAGGTGGTGGGAGGAGGTCAGGCCTCTGCTTGGGTGCCATGCTTTAGAGCCGGCTCCCGAGACCAAGGCACTGTGCACATTTGGGCTGGAAAATTCTTCGTGTGGGGCTGTCCTGGGCTCTGCGGGAAGCTGAGCAGCACCCCTGGCCTCTATCCAGTGGATGCCAGTAGCACCCGCCCCACACCAGTGTGGCAGCCGCCATGTCCAGATAGGGCCGAAGGTCAGCGGGGACAAAATCGTCCTGAGCTGGGAACTCTTGGTTTGACTTTGTGTCCTTGGTGGGTGGAGAGTGGGAAACCCGAAACCCTGCACCCACGGACGATGAGGTCAGAGGCCACGATTCTGATCCTCCTTCCGCCGACCGCAGCATCACGTCAGGGACGTGGCCCGGGAGAGAGACGTGCTCTTGGGCTTCAGGCTTGTACCACGGACAGAGGACCAGGCTTTCCCACCTCTCATGTGGAAAATAAGACTTACCATAACCTGGGTAACCTGTTTAACACTGAGTGTAGATTTCAGGAAACCTATAAACCTCCCTTTCACTGTTTTGAAATGAAAGGGAAGGTGTGACTCCCTTGCTGGTGCTCCCCTGGTTCTGTTGAAAGGCTGTGGGGGAAGACAGCGTGTTTCCCATGACTGGCCGGCGGCATCCTGGGCAGGACAGGCCGGGCCATAAAAGGAGGGAGGCAGCAGGTGATCGTGAGAGATGGGGCTGAGGAGGTCACTCCCTGTGTTTATCTCGCCTGTTCTCAGAGCTGAAATCAGTTTGCTTTCTAGTCTGCCTGGCGGTGAGGAAACCACCGTGCCCCCGGCCTGGCCCTCCGCCCAGCCTCCGCCCTCACTGGCGGGTTCTTCTGCACCCACGGCCCCAGGAGACGCACCACAGGGCTTCCTGTGATTAGCTGCCCGTCTGGGTTTGGAAAGTGTCCTCCAGCTTCCAGGCCCCCGTGTTCCTTCCCCAGGTCCCCATGTTACCTGACACCCCCCCCCCAGCTCCTCCCACAGGGGCTTCCCTCCCACGTCCCTGACAGCAGGTCAGTCTTTGTCAAAAACCTTCTTGGTACCCCGGCTGATCTGGCTCAGTGGACAGAGTGTCAGGCTTCGGGTTCAGTTCTGGTCAAGGGCACGGACGTTGGTTGCAGGCGCAATCCCCGGCCCTGGTTGGGTCACATGCAGGAGGCCACCCATCGATTTGTCTCTCCCTCACATTGATATTTCTCCCTCTGTCTCCCCCCCTCCCTTCCACTCTCTAAAAATCAATGGGAAAATATCCTTGAGTGAGGATTAACAACAAAGAGAGAGAGCCTTCTAGATGCATAACACCATATGGTTCCACGAGAGATACCGAGATGATTAACCTAGAGGAGAGGCTGTGTGGCCTTAGGAGTCGGGCCGAGGCGGGAGGTGACAAGGCCCGTCTGGGACCTGTGAGGATGGCAGGACCACGGAGAGGCTTCCCTGTGTGTGTGTGTGTGTGGGGGGGGAGCAGGGAGGGGGGCGCTAGCTTGGGTCGAGGGCTGCCCAAGGCATGTCGTCTTGACCGGCCGGCTCAGGCCTCCTGGCTGTCCTGGGCGTGGGGTGCTGGGGCAGGCTGGACGGCAGGCCTGCCCCCACCCGTCTGCTCGCCTTCCAGGCCCAACCTGGTGTCTCTGGACCTGGGCTTCAACGACCTGACAGACCTGCAGGGCATGGTGGCCAGCCTGAGCACCCTGCAGCGCCTGCGGCTGCTGATCCTGCAGGGCAACCCGCTGGCCCTGGTGCCCTACTACCGCGGCTTCACCGTCGACAGCCTGGCCCAGCTCTGCGTGCTGGACGACATCACCGTGTCTTCCAGCGAGAAGCACCAGTTCCAGGGGCTCCGCTACAAAGCGGGTGAGGGAGCCGCCTGCCTGGGCTGCCGGGTATCTGTCCCCAAGCTCCCTGGCTGGTGTGAGACGTCTCTCCCAGATTTGACCTGGTGACTGGGATTTGGACCTCCTGGGTCCCCTCCCTCCCTAGGCAAATGGGGAACTCTGATCAGCCGCTTCCCTTCCGTGGTGGCTTGAGATCACCCCCTGGTGGCCCTGCCACCAGCTGCACCGAGGCTTCTCCAGGTCAAGGTGACAAACATGGATGCCAGAGGGCACCTCCCGGCAGGCCCTGGCCAGGCCGCGCCTTCTTACCTGGGAGCGGCCTGCGGCCGAGCCGCTGCTGTGGTCCCATCGCACAGGTCGGGGACCAGGCCGAAGGGCATCTCACCCAAAGGGGACGTGTTTGCACCTGGCCGCACTGGGACCCAGCCCCCTCTGTCCCCCCTGCAGACGTCCTGGCGCGCGAGGCGCAGTTCGTGGTGACGATTGGAAACATCAGGGGGGTTCTGGACTCCTCGGTCCTGGACCCGGAGCCGGGGCCCCAGGGGCCCTTCATCACCTACAGCTACTACGTGACCTACGACTTCGTGGAGGACGAGGAGGGCGAAGGGAGCGAATACGGAGGGGTCCTGGCCGAGGTGCGCCCGGGGGTCCTGGGCGGGGGGCTGCTCTGGGCCCACGGGGTTTCCCTCAGCCGCTTTCCTCCCGTTGGAGTCACTCCCAGCGGCTCACCCTTCCGTCCCTGAACCAGGGGGCACCCCAAATTCTCCACCAGGCGATGTCCCCCACCCTGCCTCCCAGCCCCGGCAGCGACCCCCGGGGAGGCGGAGGGGTGTGGTTCACG